CCCTTATATTTTGCTAGTATATTTCTTTCGAAGTCGGAGTGCTTCTGCCTGAGAGGCAAGGAACAAGCAGTCTGCATACAAATGAGTCAGATCTGTAAAATGGATGCACACGCAACACTCAGGTTCTGGAAAACAGAACTGCAGTCCAAAAGTTGATGAACAACCAGAACTTTCCACCAAAGTTTACAGCTGGTGAATGCGAAGAAGAAGAAGAAGAAGAAGCTAGTGTATTTTATAAATTACTAGATTTAATTGCCCAGCTTCACCCAGGATAGTGAAAGACAGTCATATTCTCCTGTCTTCAAATTCATCTTATGTCTCCACTGCTGCCGTGCCTTTAGTCACTGACCCTAAGTGCACCTAAGGCATCTCCTGTAATACTAACACCAGTATTTAACAATTTGGGAGACAAAGCGATGTATTATCTCAGACACTAAAAATTACCTTTTCAACAGAAGTAAGAGGAAAATAGATATTGAAAGGGATATAACTCTAGCTAATGTTTACTTTTACTGACTCTAGCAATAAATACAGAAATGAATAATGGTCTGGGTGACCATTCTGACTGTTACATTAAACACTGTAGTCATAATGGCAAATGAAAAATGTAACCTGTGCACTCATCACGGTTTGGGAGGAGTTACCACTTCACTTATAATAGACACATGAAATACAGAAAGCGTTCATAATTTATAAGATAGATAACTACTAATAATCGAGCTAAACTTACATTAATGCTTTCCTCTTCATTAGAACTCTTTGTGATGATATTACTGACAAATAAATTCTTCTCATTTTCAAGAGGCTGAAAGAAGTCTATTATTTCAGCTTTGGGCTCCATGAAACTCTGATGTGGGTGTCCGTCAGCTAAATACTATTTTAAAACAAAGTTTAACAATAATAATAACAATCTTGATTACAGCAGGATATGAAACAAAAATGAAATAAAAATAAACAGGTAAGTTGGAATCCTGCAAGCATTTTTATTATCACTATCAAGTGCCTTGCTAACTGGATTGGGCTATAATGCCTCTGCACAACCAACCGGCATGGTGGGTAATGAACAGGCAGACAGATTGGCCGGATTGACAAGGCAGATGTGGTCAAAGCCCTTTGGGAACAAGCAACAGAATCAGTAGAGAAAGAAGATTATTATGGCGTGGAGAGAATGAGGCACCTGTATGTAATCAAAAGGTCTGGTTGGTTCACTACACTCAGAGGAAAGGCAAGACAGATTTTTAACCAGATTGTGACCGGTACCATCAGTATTGGAACTCTGTGCTGGCTGCTGAAGATGAGGACGGAGCATGCATGGGAATGCCCAGAGTGCTGTGATGTCACTTCAACTCAACCTGTGATCTTCAACAGCATGCATCAGTTTACATCCCTAAATGCCGTGTTAAGAGGCTGTCAAGAATCATGTTGTATTGTCGTCTTCTGTATCTTTTTTCAATGGTCACTATAAGTTTCGGTTTCTGTCTTCTCATAAAATGTCCAAAATATGAATACTGACTCTTTCTGAGCTTCATGATAAGTTTTGAGCCCTTGTTTCTTTCAAAACACCAAGGTTACTCTTTTTTTTTTCTGTCCAAGCCAAGAAATTATAAGGATGCAAGCAATTATACAACAACATTTAATAGGATCATAGAACAAAGTATTTAATCAAAAGAGTTAAGCTATGTAGAACAAAAATGGTCCAGAATAGAGAACAGATAAACAGTCCATCTTATTGTCAGTAACTTGAACGTATAATTAAACCCCACCAACAATGAACAGCAACATACTTCGTAATCACAGGATACCCTAATAGAAGTGCTTTATATTACTGTCTGGGCTAAGTTTATAGGGATTTCATCTGAAAAATGGCTCTTTGGGCCACTTGGTGTCAATCAACCTTTTGGGTTGCAATCCTAGAGGGAACAATATATTAAAAAATTGTTAACCCTATCTGCCCGAAAAGACTAAATCTAATCACTTCCGGTTGTGACACAGCCACAAATGCTAATACATATCAATGTCTGCAGTAACCTGTTCTAGAAAAGCGTAGTCAAATTCTACTGGTCATATGCGCAGTGTTTAATAGGCCAGGATATGAATATAGTAACTAAAAATAACATGGGGGGGGGGGGGGGGGGGAACTAATGATTCCAATGAATTTTGTTTAAATCGAGATGTCAAGTTAGTCCATAATTCCTCTCAGAGCCATGGCATGAGTATCCTTACACAGTTCTTTTTTTTTAGGTCCTGGGGAAAGTAATAATTAAATGCTTCACTCTGTGTTGATTGACTACCGATTTATATATCTTTATATATTTCATGAAAAAATTGTTTTTAATGTAGATAAACAGTTTTTTGTTTGTTTTTAATTTATTGGCAACCTGTGTAATATGGTTTTTGTTTTAAATTTTTTTCAAGGAATACATTTTGTTTTTAGCATTCAAAAGGGATAACACTACAGCCACAGTAAATTATAAATTGCTCCATGCAGGGGTTTAAAGAAAGTCCGCCCCAGTTAGGACCCAAACCCAGGACCACTGATCTGCATGTGAGTGTCTGCTACATTTCATTACAGTGGCTTCCATATATATATATATATATATATATATATATATATATATATATATATATATATATATATATATATATATATATATATTTATTTACAAATGTAAAGTCCATTATTTTAAAGAATATAGCACTTTGTATCTTATTCAAAATATTGCCCTGTTCACAGCTTTTCAGTTGTGATTTTAACAGATACTGTATAGTGAGCATTTAGAAAACTTTTAACACCATTGTGTCTCAAAACTGGATTTTCTGTATCCTATCACTCGTGTTAAAGTATCAGAATTAGTAATTTGTCAAAATATCCTGTTCAATCCTCCAGTCTTAAGGTTGTATCTGGGGTATAGGCATTTAAATGAACGATAAATAGGAAATTAGTAACACTGCTCAGTGCAGTGCTTATTTGCTTGAAAAGGGAAAGAAGTGGCTAGAAAGTTAGATTTTAATTTATAGTATACTCACTTTTCAATTTTAGTAGGTTATTCAAAATATTTTCATACGATTTGGCTGTCTGTCAATCTATGGATATAAAAAAAAAATTAAGTTTCTTATTTTAGTAAATGTTTCTTGAAGATTAATAATCTAATTAATATTATCTAAAACAAGATGTAAACAAAATAAAATGTTATCAATTAATAGTTTCTCGCTCTTAGATACCAGCAACATGTCAACATTCAACAAAATGACCAGTTTCACTGAATTCAAATGTCACAGGATTGGCAACTAGCTTTTTTGATAAACCTGACATCGGATGGCTAAATATGCTAAATTTCTATTGTCTGGCGGTACTTTTACAAACAAAGAACAAAAATGTGCACATTAAACAAAAAAAGATAGAAGATACTGATGGACGTAAATGTTGGAAATTGTAAAAGGCTGCTAAACATTACTGTAAGAATACTCACCATACGCAGAACAGAGAACGGCTAACGGCATAACCATTTCAATATATGAACAAGCAGTTACAAGTTGGAGTACCAAAACCTGGGGTCGTAGGAACCTTGAAATAACCACCCTTTAAAATGGGAGAAGAGGAAATTAAGAATCGTCTACACAGCACTCCGAACACCCCCCATAGGCGCTTCGTGCCCATCTTCAGCAGCAAGCGAACAGTTAAAATTCCGATGGTACCAGTAACTCTCTGATTGTATATCCGTCTCACCTTTCCCCTGAGTGTCGAGTGTCGGCCAGATCCCATGTAATTTCTCGCAGTGCCATTTTCATCAGACCGTAATGATCTATGTGCGCACCATATTAAATGGCAATCAAGAGCCCTGAAAAGGTCTCCTGCAGTGTTGATGCGATCAAAGGAGACAGACCCAAATACGGTCCCGACTGGCGACGACGACGTCTACCGGCGAGGGGTCGCCGATGCCACGACTTTTTGTCAACGTCTAGTTTGAGAATGGAGGTGGAGGCAGTCACTGCTGCCTTTCGCTGTACATTCATGCCGTGATTGTAACTGACTCGCAGAGCAGGCTGAGAAAAGTGGAGACAGGCGTGCTCCGTGCTGAGTGACAAGCATCACTCCAGAGGTCCCGTGTAGTTAGCGTCGTGTGGATATTTTCTGCAGGTCACGCCGGTGTGTTGGGAAAGAAGCAGGCAGACAGACTGATCGGTTCTGCATCGCTTGGTGGTGAAGTGATGTATGACACGCTGAATGTTGTGAAGGCTCTTTGGGGGCGATTGAACAGTGCGGAGGCACAGGTAGATCACTACGGTCTTGGGAGAATGGCGCTGCGAGGAGTTCCCAGGGGGTTTGGCCAGCCCTCAACACTCAGGGAAACTACGAGATGGATATACAATCAGACGGTTACTGGTGCCATCGGAATTGGAACTCTTCACTTGCTGCTGAAGATGAGGATAAAGCGCTCATGGGGTGTCTTGAGTGCTGGGTACTTAATTTATAACTTACCCCTGACGTCACGACAACGTCACGGGAGACATTCCCAATAAATTCTAGGGTGTTCAGGTTGTAGTTTCTCGCGATTTATCTACAGCCAAGTTTAGGGTTAGGGTTAGGGTTGGCATTAGAAGGCACTAGATGAACACTCAAAAAAATTAACCACACAACAGCACACTTCCATCCCTTGAAATAATGGACTGTCAGGTCAGGTGTGGATTTCCCACGGGGATTTCGTGTTTGGGGTACGTTATAAATTAAGAACCGAGTGCTGTGATGTCGATTCTTAATTTAACATTAAACATTCAACGACGTTCTGTTTGGCCCCCTTAGTGCCTTAGCCATGAACGGAAAAGCAACGGAGCTGTTAATTAAACATAGCTAGCATTTAACAATATCAGCCAAAAATGGCAAACATGGCTAAACTGGCAACTCGTGAACGTAAACAATTGTCCACCACGGTGTCTCTCCCTCGATTTCTGACAGTGAAACATTCTGTGAAATCTCCGACAGGAGCCAAACATCTCTTCAGATGACTTCAGTGAACCTTACGGAGCTGTTCAGTCGTTGTTTTGAGCTCAAGAATGGAACTGAACTTATTCTGCACCAGTCGGCGGTTGGGGATGTTGGTTGTGTAGTTTGGGACGCAGCAATAGTCTTGTGCAGCTACTTTGTGAAATGTGCCGGTTTGAAACAAGGACAGTTATACGTTGACAGTTTAGATTTCCAAGGAAAAAGTATGTTAGACCTCGGCTCAGGGACTGGGGCTGTTGGTTTGGTCACAGCATGTCTCGGGCAAGTACACAGTTTTCTGCTTCTGTATCATCATCATCATCATCAACTGTCTCGGACAAGTACCCTGTCTTCTGTTTCTTTCCTTATCATCATCATCATCATCAACTGTCTCGGGCAAGTACCAGCTTCAGAGGCAAGATCTTCCATCTACTCTTGGAGGGTACCGTTAGAGAAAGAAACATGGACCACCACAAAGTGGGTATGAAGACTTCCACTCAGGTATTGAAATTTGTGCTGCGGCAAATGATCTCGAGGATAGTACAATAGACTTTGGATTTCTTAATGTTTCAGCTTCTTGAACTCCAAATAAGTCCATTCCTGCTTCATTGAATCTCTTACAATGAAAAGTAGTGTTTAGATGTGGCAGGTGGACCTCTGAACCAACAACAATGCATCCCGGCCTGCCACAAGGATCGCCATTATCTCCTGTGTTGTTCAAGTAGTTCAACGTTTACACAGTGAGAATCACAGGCGAGCAAATCACAGGACCCGGAATAATACTGTCATATGCTGACGATATGTTAGTGTATTGTCAGGGTTTGTGTAGAGAGAAGGTTGCTGAAGAACTACAAAAATAGCTCAATCGCATAAGCACTTGGTGTGGTGAAGCTGGTGCACTGGTCAACCCAACGAAGGCGGCAGTGACATGGTTTTCTTTGAATCATATTGTGAAAGCTCCAACACCAGTTGTTAGTCTGTGTTCTGAGGTCGTAGAAAGAACGCATGAAATACCTATGGATACATTTTGATGGAAGCTTTACTTAAACTGAGAATATAGATCAGATTATAATAACAGCCAGGGCTGGCTGCCATGAAAGTGATGGCGGCGGCAAACTGTGAGCAGCGTTATCTGTGTCTTCTATAGCAGGGTCTGGTCCTTTCTGTTTTTGAAAACACGTTGGTGATCTTGACTCTTAGCTATAAACAGCTGGAAAGGACACAGAACGAGGCTATGCACATTATACCTGGGTGTACAAGAGATACAGCATGCAGGGCGATGTGCTGCCTTCTTGTTTTTCAAACCAGGGAAGACAGAATACACATTTCCCGAGCACGTGACTACCTCACAGTCACCGCAGTCAACCAACATCCATTGCATAGTGAAATTAAGAAGATAAAAGACACCAGGTTAAAAATAAGGAAATCATGGATGAATCACGCCAAGGACATTATTTTACAGAAATGTTCACTGATGGACATAGAACACAATGAGAAGTGGGTGCAAGTGCCTTCAGAGTGCTGTACATCCTTTTCTATTTGCCTCTAGCTAGACAGAAAATGCAGATTTTTCAAATTTTCTAGAAAATAAAGGTAGCGGAAGTGATACTGACATAATAAAAATAATCTTGACATCTAAAACCCATTTCGTTCTCTGGTTGGTACCAAGTGCAGCTACTGTTAGTTTATATTACCAGCCAGATATGGCTGTTTTCTTGGATATCCAGACTTTCTCTGGTATTAACTTAACTCAGAAACTAGTCCAGTTTCTTCTGTAGAGGTGGAGTTTTGAGATTCAAACTTTCGCTCAACACAAAATCATATATCCAGGGGGTACTCATGACAGGTAGCTGAATTGATACTGACAGTAACATCCATGTAATGGAACTGGTCTAGAAATATGGGCCTAGCCTTGTTACATGAAAAAGGATCTTCGCTGGTTTTTTTTTTTTTAAATCACACATCCTTGATTGAATAAATAAATTTGCATCACTGCAGTCTGAACTTTCCCATACATCCTGGGCTCCATGCTCAGCAGCCAGTGAAGAGTTCCCATTCTTGTAGAGCCAGTTGCAACCTGATTTAAAGGGTCTGCCTTTTGTTTTTAAACCGTTGGTCATTCTTGAGTATTGTTCATAAACTTCGGGTTCTCCTACAAACGACGGCTGGTTATTATGGCCCGGGTAGTCGGAGTTCAGTCCCCTGGCTACAGTGCAATTACGGAGGGAGAAGGCACGAAATAACAAAAAAGAAAGTGAATCCACATTTCCAGATACAGTGGCTACCTCACAGTCACCGAAGTATCCAAACACCCATTGGACTCAGGTTTTCACCGACGGCTCTGCTACAGATGCAGTCAAGAAAGGGGGGTTGTGGAATTTACAGGAAACCCATGGATGAATCACGCCAAGGACATCTATTTTACAGATATATTCAACTGCCCTCCTCTCTAGAACATCCAATGAGGAGTTGGGTGCAAGGGCCTTCAAATGTGCTGTACAGTCATTTTCTGTTTGCCTCTAGCACTATCCAGCAAAAAAAGATTTTCAAATTTTTCTAGAAAGTAAAGGAGCCGAATTGGCTTACTACTCCACCTAATAAAAATAATCTTGCAGTGGAAAACCCATTTCGTTCTCTGGTGGGTACCAAGTGCAGCTACTGTTAGTTTATATTACAAGCCAGATATGGCTGTTTTCTTGGATATCCAGACTTTCTCTGGTATTAACTTAAATCAGACACTAGTCCAGTTTCTCCTGTAGAGGTGGAGTGTTGAGATTTAAACTTCTGCTCAACACAAAATCATATATCCAGGGGGTACTCATGACAGGTAGCTGAACTGATACTGATAGTATTATCCATGTAATGGAACTGGTCTAAAAATATGGGCTTAGCTGTACACCTTGTTACATGGAAAAGGATCTTCGCTGGTTTTTTTTTTTTTAAATCACACATCCTTGTTTGAATGAATGAATTTGCATCACTGCAGTCTGAACTTTCCCACACATCCTGTCTCCATGCTCAGCAGCCAGTGAAGAGTTCCCATCCTTGTAGAGCCAGTTGCAACCTGATTTAAAGTCTGCCTTTGTTTTACCCTCATCATTCAGTATTGTTCAGAACTTCTGCCCATGTCTCGCTAAATCCGTCTTTCAAGATACACTCTGTTCTGTTGCACTGTCCACTTGATCCTAGAGAGCCTCACATCCATTTTATCATTAAGTAGCTCACTGCTCAGAAGAGCAGCAGCAGTCAATCAGCCTGCTAATTACCACACATCTCTGAACATCCTGGACAGAAAATCTGTAATATGCTCAAGAAATGTAAGTCTCTCAAATTTTAGAATGCCATTTTGTGTTTTGCAAAGAACGTTCGAGGGCAGGGCTGTTCAACTCAGTTTACTCAGGGCCCACCATTTTTTTTTTTCAACAGGGATCGTCACATGAAGGAGGTCTGTGCTCTAGCATAGAAAGATCATTAATACAATACAGTTGGCCAGTTTTGGCCCATGGGACACCAGTTTATTAATCCTGTCCTAGGGTTTAACCTGTCTCCTGATTACAGTCAAGAATGTTTTCCCTTATATCATCATCATCATTGTCCCAAAACACTGTGTGTCATCAGGTCAACAGTTGCTGTTGACTGACAGATCAACAGCTCCTTCCACCTTTGATGGTCAGATGCAGTGGACTTCATGGTTGCATGCCTAAGGCCTGTCCAGTCAGTCATATTCTGTATCCAGGTCTTTCTTGGTCTGCCTCTTCTCCTTTGCCCCATTGCTGAACCCTGTAGTATTGTTTTTGTGAGGCTGTTAGATCTTGTTACATGTCCGTACCATTGCATTTTCAGTCTTTTCACTGTAGCTAACAGAGGTTCACAGTGTCCATGTGCTGGGTAATTATGCAGTGAACCTCATCATTTGCAATGGGGTCTGTGTATAATATACCAAGAATTCTTCGGAAAGATCTTATTTCCAGTACCTTCCAATGCTTTCCTTGTATCATCGTCATTTAGCAGGTCCTTTGCAAAACGTCGCTCTGATCACAGTCTGCCTGAAAGAAACTCAGCCTCTCGCTAGCTCTTCCATTTCATGCACTTTCTTACTCAAGGAGTCCTATGCCCATCTTCATGTTGGTCAGCCCCTGCCCCTCCTTCCTGGTACCATGTCTTCAGCTATAATGTTTTCCAATCCGTCGTGGCGCTTGATATGACCAGAATATTTCAGTTTCCCAATTAAATAATATTGACATAATTTGAAAACATAATTTGTCTCCATATGTTTTTTTTTTTTAGAGCAAGAGCAATAGTCACAGATTTGCCAGATTTTGTACCATTGATGCAATACAACATAACAGAAAATAAGGGCAAATTCACAGGCTCCTGTTCTGCAGAGCCACTTAGATGGGGTGACAGAGAGCAGATGAGCTTTCTGAAACAGTCCGATTTTCCACATGGTGCTGATTTTATTGTACTGGCAGATTGTGTTTACTATGAAGAGGTATGTAGGAGGTGTCTAGCATAATTATCTTATCTTGTGTCTTCTACTCTTCACTTAATGGAGCATAGACTCTCAGGCAACTGACAGGTTATTGAATCCTTTGTACCCTATGTGGGTTCCGGGGCCCTATTATAGGGAAAACAAAAATAGACCCACTGCCTACCCAAACGCATGTCGTAAGAGTTGAATAGTTTGGAGCTTCCTTTGAAGTGGAGTGCATCTGCCTGAGAGGCAAGGAACCAGCAGTCTGCATACAAATGAGTCAGGTCTGTAAAACGGATGCACACGCAAAACTCAGGTTCTAGAACAGGACTGCAGTCCAGAAGTGGATGAACAACCAGAACTTTCCGCCTGGAGTTTACAGCTGATGAACGCAAAGAAGACGTATCCTTTGTTATCATGTGCAGCTCAGCACTTTTTCCCCCATCTTTTTCTATCTCCTTGTCTAAACAGAATTGATTTCTTTGACCCTGTCAGTCCAGTGCAAAGACATTCTAGTTATATTGTCAAGTTTTCTGAGTGTGTGTTGTATGCAATGCCAGTTTGTCCTCACCTCTTGATTCACTGGAATGTGTTTAGTCTCTCCAATAGCTCCACATTAGTGAGCCTATCTTACTATTTAAATCTTTCTATTCTGAGTGATGCGGGAATTTTGAAAATATTCTCTTGTGTACCTTTCTTGTTCCAATCTTATTTTAAAATAATAAAGATGGCCATCTGTTTGTGTAGCATTAATCATTCTAATGTTGTTTTGGTGTCTCTTTTTTTATTTTACATTTGTCTTTTTTTTTTTTTAAATAGTTCTTTCCTTTGCTATGTTTTTTTACAGCCTTTCTTGTCGGCTCACAGTTTTGAAAAAGCTGTTTTACTTTATTTATTTTCTTAATGTTTTTTCTTCTTGTTAAGTTAATGAAAAGGGTTGTGGGCATTCAGCATCATCATCAGTTTCTACTTCTGTTATTAAGCGTTGTGGGAAGGAACAGTTTGCGAGTCCATTTCTTGATTGGCAGCAATGATTATTGTCATTCTGTGTTGATGTAAAAGCTCTTTAATGTCATTAGTGTTCAGATCTTTTCATGCCTGCATTAGAAGTTATTCTGACTGCATTCTTAGTAAATGACCAAACCATTTGATCTTCTGTTTCTCAAAGAATTTGCTGCATGTTGTTGTTCCTACAGTCTGTCTGATAATATCATTTCTAACTTTGTCTCGCATGATTAAGTTGGTGGCTTTTCTCAGGCATCGCATTGCACAAGTGTTAATTTTACATTGGTTAGCTTTTGATAATGTCCAAGTCTGATACTTGTGTTTGGATGTCTTAATAGCGGTGTAAGATGGTAAATAAGTGCACTGGCTTGTTGGCATCTTGTTTTTATTTCCCAAACTATTCTTCTGTCCTCCGAGAATGTACTTCCTAAAGTTTTGAGTGTTAATCCTCAGAAAAAGACTTACTTCTACTTCTTCTTTTCTTCCAGCTGCAAATTGTGGCAGAAAATTCTGGTTATTCATTCACTTCCTGCTTTATTCTTGTTTCACTACTGTTGTGTGTGCATGCATACTATTGGCTCTTTGCCTCTCAGGCAAATGCATTCTGACTTTAAAGGATGCCCACAATAAATTGACTCCTATGACAGGCTTGTTGGGGAGGGGGAGGGCGGGCAATGGGCCTGTTCTTGTTTCCCCCACAATAGGGTCCCGATACTAACATGAGAGAAAGAGAGGAGCAGGACCAACTATAGCTTGGTCAGCGGCTTTTGCATCAGCTGGAAAAAAAAAGTCTGCTAGTGTAGTGGCAAATGAGCTTTGTATCCAGTGATTCCTACAGCTGTAATGACAGTATCGCAGCATTTAACATAGTCTTCTCAAGTTGGGTCAAGGGATAGGTACCAAATTAACAGAATAAAAATAATTAAATGTTGTGGTGGTGTGCCAGAACCAGGACTCCAACTGGTTAAGGCCTATCTGAATCTCTCTGTAGTAATCCTAGAAACAGGTTCACTTCTGGGTCCCTGGCCGATGTAGACAGGATCAACATTTTCTTTGGAGTCAGAGCTCATCTGCCTGAGAGGTGAGGAACCAGCGGTCCGCATACAAATAAGCCAGATTTGTAAAACAGGTGCACACAAAACTAAAGTCCTGGAACAAGATTCAAGTCCAATCATCGACAAACAACCAGGTCCTTCTGCTGAAGTTCATATCCGGTGAATGCAGAAGAAGTGTTGAGATCTCCAGGAACTCATCTTCTTTATATTTGCAGTAGAACTCAGCATCACAGGAGGATACTGTTTGAACTGGATATATTAATTAGCATACAATATTTTTATGGGGCGACACCCCCACCTTCGTAAAATGTTATCTCGTCACAAAACAAATAAATACTATGCCCTTCAACATTCAACAGTCAAAGTGTCTGTCTCGCAACACCAAGATCAAAATGTATAAAATGTTGATAAGACCAGTCGTTTTATATGGCTCTGAAACTTGCAGCACACTTAAAAGAGATCAAGCCCTATTGCAGGTTTTCCAAATCAGATTCTTACGACGAATCTTTGGACCTATCAAAGATGCAGACAACGGTGAATGGAGAGTGAGAAGCAACAGCAAAATTCATAATCTGTTTAAATCACCACTGATCACTGGCATCATGAGAGCTAATAGACTGAAATGTTTGGGGCATATTGAAAGAATGTCAGATGACAGAGAAGTAAAAACTGTGTACACGAGGGAGATGAATGGTCGTAGACAACAAGGCAGACCAAGAAGGCGATGGAGAGATAATATCCAATAAGACCTGCAAACACTTAGTGTCATCAGCTGGAAAGAGAAGGCCAACCAGAGATGAATGCAGGCGGGTGATATCTGCAGCAATGAACCTCAAGGGCTCGGAATGCTGAAGAAGAAGAAGAATGCCATATTTTTTATACAATTTGTTTTCTAATAATTTTGTTTTTTGTGATGATATTTAAATAGAAATACTTAACTTATAAATATCTCTTTTTCTCAGTCACTGGAGTCCTTGGTTGAGACCATTCTATATTTCTCATCGGAAAGAACTCATGTCTATTGCAGCTTTGAGGAAAGAGATATGGGCAACAAACCTGAGCTGCAGCAGAAGTTTTTTCAAGTAAGTTTATGTTATAGTTTGTATATGTAGAAGTGTGAACCTCCATGAAGGTAGTCTGCTCTAGTATGTATGTGCAGGAGAAGTTCTTACATGAAATAAGTCTGCTCTAGTATGTATGTGTAGGAGAAGTTCTTACATGAAATAAGTCTGCTCTAGTATGTATGTGCAGGAGAAGTTCTTACATGAAATAAGTCTGCTCTAGTATGTATGTGCAGGAGAAGTTCTTACATGAAATAAGTCTGCTCTAGTATGTATGTGCAGGAGAAGTTCTTACATGAAATAAGTCTGCATGTATGTATAAGTCTGCTCTAAGTCTGCCTCTAGTATGTATGTGCAGGAGAAGTTCTTACATGAAAATAAGTCTGCTCTAGTATGTATGTATGTGCAGCAGGAGAAGTTTCTTACATGAAATAAGTCTGCTCTAGTATGTATGTGCAGGAGAAGTTCTTACATGAAATAAGTCTGCTCTAGTATGTATGTGCTCTTACATTGCAATAATTCTGCTCTAGTATGTATGTGCAGGAGAAGTTCTTACATGAAATAAGTCTGAACATTCTAGTATGTATGTGCAGGAGAAGTTCTTACATGAAATAAGTCTGCTCTATGAAATGTCTAGTATGTCAGGCAGGAGAAGTTCATTTACTACATATGTATAAGTTCTTACTAAGTCTGTTCTAGTATGTATGTGCAGGAGAAGTTCTTACATGAAAATAAGTCTGTTCTAGTAATGTTATAAGTCTGTTCTAGTATGTATGTGCAGGAGAAGTTCTTACATGAAATAAGTCTGCTCTAGTATGTATGTGCAGGAGAAGTTCTTACATGAAATAAGTCTGCTCTAGTATGTATGTGCAGGAGAAGTTCTTACATGAAATAAGTCTGCTCTAGTATGTATGTGCAGGAGAAGTTCTTACATGAAATAAGTCTGCTCTAGTATGTATGTGCAGGAGAAGTTCTTACATGAAATAAGTCTGCTCTAGTATGTATGTGCAGGAGAAGTTCTTACATGAAATAAATAAGTGAGAAGTTCTTACATGAAATAAGTCTGCTCTAGTGTATGTGCAGGAGAAGTTCTTACATGAAATAAGTCTGCTCTAGTATGTATGTGCAGGAGAAGTTCTTACATGAAATAAGTCTGCTCTAGTATGTATGTGCAGGAGAAGTTCTTACATGAAATAAGTCTGCTCTAGTATGGATAAAAAAATTAGTTGTGTATCCTTTACAGGACATTGCAGAACCAATTGCAGCTTTTATTGGCTGTTGTAGTTTTTTCCAGTCATATTTTACATTCAATAGTTTGCCATTGCTTCTGAACGGTCAGCTCTCGGTACTACTGTCGAAACCAGCGCAAGACAAATTGTCCGCAGCAGGGATTGAACCCATCACCCCGGCATTATGAAGCGCATTTGCAACGCCTAAGCCATAGACGCCGACATGTATATATAATAGAAATTCTAACTTATGTGAATTACACCTGTATTCTAGAATGTATATGCAGGAGAAATTCCATCTTACATGATGTAAGAGAGATTATAACTGTTAGGAAACAGTATGAAATAAAGAAAATTAGCAATATTTAAGAGAGTTTCTATCCTCACAAGTAGCCTGACCATCTTCATCTTTCTATCTGCGTGGCATTGCAGGGTTCATCATGTACCTAAGGCAGCAGTTACAGGGGACCTAATTTTAACTTTAAGTTGAAGGTTTATCTGAAATATGTTGATTTGATTTGATTCAAGAACCTATATTATTTGTAACTGGTGAGAGTGACTTCTCAGTTCAACCACTTGATTTTCCATGTCTGTTTATTCTAAACTCACTAAACTTGTAAAAAATTGTTACCTTTTCTCTCTATACTAGATGATGAGAACACAGTTTGACATTACCAAAGTTCCTCTCTCAGCCCAGGATCCAGATTATAGTAGTGCAGATATACATGTGCTCCATTGTGTCCTTAAAACTAGTCTATGTCATGTAGTTTTCCTGAATCGAATAGGTAATTGTTATTATAAATGAATATCATATACTTTATGATTTATACATCCAAGTCATTGCTTATATTTGTTGTTAGTGTGAAATTTGCTGTTAAATAACATCTACTTGATCCTCTAGCCTGTCATGTCATTTTTTAGGACAGCTTAATAACCTTTGGTCCAAAACTGACACTCAGCTCTCACCTGTGGCTCCACGTAGCTATCAGCATGCGACAGCAGCCACCTCCAGGGCAACGGCTTTGACAGGCCGGCAAAACCAGGTGAGGGTAGCCGATGCTCCTTTCCATCGGGGAGTTGGGATCTGCCTATCCAAGCATGCAAAGACTACTGTCGGCAAAATGTGGAGCGGAAACCATATTTAGTTCAACGGGCAAGACGGCGACACTAGCAAAGTGCAATGGAGCGCATAGAGCATGGCGAGGCACGTAGAACGCCCTGGTCATCCACTGCACCTTGACATATCTCCAATCGTCCTGACTCTGTCTTGCCACTGGACCCAGATATGACTTAGGCAAGAGGTCGATGATACTGCGCAACTCCTCCTCACTTTAATCCAAGTCACCGCGCAAGTCACTCTATCATCTTCATCACTCATACTTGATGAAAAAGAGTGGTCAACATCATCTTGATGGACAACAACACACACAGCACACACTTGATCCTCATTAATAACACTGCAAGAGTTGACAATTTCAGTGATCTAAAATTCATCATCTTATTAGAGCTTTAATATGTTGACACGATAATTTTTTACTGTTTTACTGTCTCACAGTCAGCATCTGAGATTTTCTAACAATTTTAAAAGAACATTCAACTGCTAACTTGCTCAAATTGTGTGGGAACAATAGTCGGGCTTCATCATCTGGCTTGTACATGATAATTTTCTGTTTCTGTGCACATCATTATTTTGTATAATACGTAAATTCTGAAGTAACTATTTTGTTTCCTCACAGAGTGTAATTATCTGGTGTCTTGGATCGACTACTTTAATTTCAGATCTGTGAATTGCAATCCCTCTTGTGAATTCGTAATGGTGCATTATTCTATTCTTAATGTAATCAAAATCCAACCATAGATATTCTGATACTATTTCTAAAATGTTTCAAGGTTCACTCCCGAGATGTTGTTGGAACGGTCTGGCCCATTCAGATTTCGGAATGTTTTGACACTTGACCTGTAGTAAGAATGCACTGATCCACGATCCTCTGTCATCTTTCTCCCCAAAATTCTTTACCACTGCTTTGTATTTTGAATCTATGTTCCTCCTTTGCTCTTTCTCATTGCACTGCCATTTCTGCTTTTAATTCGTTGTCCATCTCTTTTGTTCTTATCTATGTTCTTATTTATGCTTCCTTTTTCTCTCTATCTGCATTAACCTGTGCTGCCAGATGTTCACATTCTAATGTTAACTCCTGTTCCTTTATCTTTTTCCCATGCTTTAATTGCTGGTCTTTTAAACCTGCTTCATGCTGTAATTTTTTTGTCTTTTAATTCTTTAAGGCCCGAGCAACCCTGTAAGCGTTGATTGATAAGTTCTGCTTTGTCCAAACATTGCTGTCAGCCTCAATCGTGTGTCCCATACATATTGCTTCGCACATGGCTCTACTTGTTTCTAATGTTTGGAACTACGTTTAAAGTATTTAGGGAAAGTCACGATTTCCTGTTAACAACATTCCTTATCCCAAGCCACATGTGCATTGATTGATCAGATTCATAGCTACATTTTTTCAACAGTCTATTCTCCAAGTTTGTTTTTGAGTGCCATGAAAACCAATGTTCCAACCACAAGTACAGGTCACAGAATGTGTCTTTCTGCGGCCGAAGCTCTGAAATTGTTTCAGTCAGATGTTTTTAATTCTGATAATGATAATGAAAATTTAGATTTTTCAGAAAGTGATTTGGATGGTGAATTTTCACCAGCAGCAGCTGGGTGATCAGCTGTCAGGGAATCCAGTAGTTCTGATGAATCTGACACAGAATGTTTCATTGTTGCAGTATTTAAGATGTAACAGAAGGAAAGTGCTCCAAACTTATAGAAAGACCAATTCTGGTGAAGGATGGCAAAGAGTAGAGCATGGAGTCTTCCAGGACCTTGAATACTTTTCGTTTTAGTCCCAAAACAACTCCAGGAGTAAACCCTGAATTGGTATCTGAAAGCTCAGCTCCTCTTGATTGCTTTCTGGCACTGTTTGATAAAGAAGTACAGACTTCTCTGTTGGATGCAACAAATATGTATGCCACATTAAAGAAAACACAGAACAATCCTGCTCGCACAAATTGTGTGATGTAGCTGACCAACATCTCTGGTACTAAAGCCTGCACACTCATAAAACAAGAAGTGGTGGAAAAAGCTTCTTTAGTTAATCATGGAAATTTGTTGCATCAATGCGCATGTTCTGTACAACGAAACGAGGCCAGGAACGACCCCAAAAAAAAAAAAATGTAAACTGAAAGAGTCCAAGCTCAAGCTGATTGACGAGCTACTCACTGCAGCTGCTGAGTAAATGCCAAAAGCACCAGCCATAGTTGCAAGGAGAACAGGTCGGATATCAAGCAGCTCAGTCCAGCGTCTTGAACCAGGCATGCATTTGGTTGTCATTATAAAGCAGGACCGTGAATATGAAGTGTGTAGTACACTTGATAAACCCAAGAGGACCAATTTCATCTGCGAAGGATGTGTTAGTCATCCACATTTGCATCAAAAGGACTGTTCAGTCAGTACCATATTTTGGCTAAACTACATGTCAAAATTCATGGACCTGAAAGAGTTAAACTTGCTTCTTGTAGTAACTGATGTAACTTCAGTTCCTTTTCATGCACCTTTACTGCTCAATCTGTTTCTGTTTATCTTTTAACCTTTTTTTCATGCATTTATACGGCTTGATCTATTCCTGACTGTTTATCTGTTAACTCTTGTTCATAAGCGCGTGCAAAAAATTCTGCTCTAAATCTAATTCTTGCAGTAGTGTCTGTTTCTCCTTGAGCTTTCTTGTTCTTTGTCCTCTTTTTCTCTTCCTTCACAGAATTTTCCCAACTTTTCTCCTGATAATCCCAACTGTTTTCCCAGATTTATATATTCAGCTAGGTTCGACATTTTTGAATTTTTTTACTTCAATTTAAATCACTTATTTTTAAAAATATCTGAGATTTTAAATAATATGATGATATTGTTTCAAATCTCTAACCCTCTATGCTCATGTTTACCAAAGAATTCCAAATTTTCCTTAATTTAATCTCTGCCTGTTATATTTCCACTATCAAACAATCTCATCAGATGCATCAATATTTAAATGACACATTTTTTGTTTTCCCTGTTGTTAGTTGACGATCACATCGGCATCCTGGTTTTGTTTTCTGACGATTAAATATGTTTTCATTGCGACGTTCACGCCACAGGCTTCTGTTTGTAGGAAAACTTTATGACTGTTGACCTCAGAAATTTGCATAAAGCTGTATGCCGAAAGTTCTTCACTGATTGCTTTGAAGTTTTGATACGTTACATTCTAATATCCACATGTTTTTATATAAGAGTATCACACAAAGCAGGACCTACATAGTTCCAGTGATGATCACATTGGCATCTTGGTTTTGTTTTTTGACGATCCAGTTTCTTTTTTGTTGCGGCGTTCCCAATTTTGACTGTTGACCTCAGAAATCTGCATAAAGTTGTGGGAATAAAAAGATACTTGTTTAAAGACTTTAAGTGAATGAAACGATATGGGAATGAAAGATTACTGATTGGGAAAGACTATTATCACAGCATTACCGACAGATCCATGGGTTCTTAGATCTTTTCCTCCATAGCTCGACAGTTGCAAAAACCACTAATGACCCCCAATTCTGTGGTGATTAACCAGATGACTTTTGTCCTTAGTGCTGCAGGCTGCACTCCCATACCTACCACCCTTGACATGATTTTCTTAACGATGTGCATGTCACTGGACATCAAAGACATCACTACTGCCCATGTCGAGGAAGTCACAGTAACCGCCTTGCCCACAAGATTAATCTGCTGATTGTAGCAGCAGTGGTAGTAGTAACAGAATAGTAGTAGCTGTGGTTACAACATCACACTGTCATACGGGAGACCTGGGTTCAATCCCCAGTAAGGTGATGGAGTTTTTTTTTTTCAGGGGCAAAATTAAACATCCTGACCTGAACAGTCCGTGGCGACAGCACTAGCCATGTGGCTTCTCTGGCTCACGACCCCCTGTCTACACCGACCTAGAAAGGTAATAAAACAGGCAGTAGTGAAAGTTTTTTTTTTTAAAGTTGTTGCGGTGCTTGTGGTGGTAGTAGTACTGTTTATCAATGCGTGATGTGGTAAATATTACACTGGCTACATTTTCTTCTAATTATAATTCCTGCTACCCAGTTTATTCTGGGGACACACGGATGCAAAGGTCAATTAAAAAAAAATGTTTTTTGAATTTAAGATCCTTTGGAGAGGGAGAGGAGTAGTCAGTGGATTAGGGGGGGGGGGGGGGGGGGGGGGGGTGATGACAGAAACCATTAACTGAGAAAGCTTAAGACAAGATTTTACAGTTTTTATTTTTCAACGCTATCTCAGCTTGTTTATTAGTGTGTGTGATTGTTTTTTAGACGTCCAGTAGTAAACTTTATTTTGAGCTCTTTAAAAAATACAAAAAAGCTTTAGGAAATTTCCACATAACACACAGGCTGTGACATGAAGCACCACCCCACTATTATTCTTAGCTAGGGTAAATGCATACTTAGTATCATTCAGATAGGCTAGTTTAAAAAAAATAATATATCTGAAATCAGGTGAACTCACCTCACTAATGTTTAATACAAGAAGTCTTCAACAAAGACTTGATGGGTGAAGAGGTCAACATCACGTGCTCGCTTTTATATTCCATGACTTGACATGGTACCCATTCAAAACTGGGTTGACATGGAAGGCAAGGACATATAGCTGGGTGGACATGGAATGACTTTACATGGTACCCATTCAAAACTGGGTGGACATGGAAGGCAAGGACATAAAGCTGGGTGGACATG